TTTTATATATATATATATATATATATATATATATATATATATATATATATATATATATATATATATATATATATATATATGGGCCGGTTCACGTGAGAATTCACCTTGATGGAAAAAATAAGAATACAATTTAGCCGTTGGATCTGATGCATCGTGCGGCTCAGATTGCATCTTGCGTTCAGATTTTGAGATAATACATTTTCAAAAGATTTTGGTCCACCTAATTTTGATGCAATCCTGACCCGTAGATCTCACAATCTAAAGCACCAGATTTATTTTTATATGGATTGACTCCAGTGAGATGACACCTTACGGTGAGATGACATGTTACGGTCAAATGACGCAACGCTCACCACTGCCAACTGCAAAGTTCACCAAGAACAACTAGAAAGCTCACTAAACTGTAAGGCAACGCTCACCATATTTTTTTAGCACTTTGATTTTTTTTCAAAAAATAAAATCAATGAAAGGAGTGCTGACTAGACTTTGACCGTTGACCGAGACCTTTGACCGCCGCCGGTCGCTGGAATCTTCCGCCACCTCCGGTCGCCGGAATCCACCTCCGCTCGCCGGAATCCGCCACTGTTCCGTCGCCGGTCACCGGAATCCTCCGCCGCCACCCGCCGATCACCAGAATCCACCACTGCTCCGTCGCCTGCCGCCGCTGACCGGTGGTTGACTGGTGTTGCTATTTTGTTTTTTATTAATTTTTAATTTTCAAAATTAAAAAAAGTGATTTTTAGTGTTCAAAGTGGTGAGCTTTGCATTATCAATTGGTGAGCTTTGTAGTGTAGTGTGGTGAGTTTTGCGTCATATGACCGAAGCATGTCATCCCACCATAAGGTGTCATCTCACTGGAGTCAATCCTATATATGTGTGTGTGTGTGTTATCCGGAGTTTGTTTTTTTTGTACAAAATACCTTAAATTGAATAAATTCTATTGTTGAAGTATAGAAATAAAATTACTCTCTCTTTCTAAAAAGGGTTTCTATTTTGACTATTGGCTAAAATAAGAAGTGCTTATTTGTAGTTGATTATTTTTCAATTTTGTACTTTGCTTGATGGATAATGTAAAATGTGATAGATAGATTATTAATGAAAAATATAATATGATAGATAAGATAAAAAAAAAATAAAGATAAAAATAAGTTGTTTTCAATTGCATTATTTCACCCATACTCCCAATGCAATATGTGAAGTGCAAGGGAATGATTAGTGTTGCGTAGCGTAACCGTCCAACCCTACCCTACCAAATCTCCCTTTAGTCTTATTCACAACAATTCTAATGTTGATGCTATAGTAAGGACTTTTTTTTAATACTCCCTCCGTCCCAAAAAGTCTTTCCTGTTTCATTTTTTGCGTATCCCATAAAACACTTCTACCGATATCTAAAATGTCTAAAATTTACAACATTTCTTCTTTATTGTGGGTAGAAGTTATTTTGAAAGTTTTTTTTAGCATTCAAGGCGGGATAGAAATGTTTTATGGGATGCGCAAAAAATGAAACAGGAAAGACTTTTTGGGACGGAGGGAGTATAATTTTTTAGGTTAGAAAAATTTTGCAATATTTTTTAACTTTTTCCCTTTTTTTTTTATAACAATGACTTAGAAACAGTATTGATGTATGATGTATTTATATACAATAACATTATATATCCTACTGGTTTCAATTTTTTCTAAATTTCATTCAGTTTCTATCAATTCTTTCTATTTTCTTCTAATATCCAATTTAAGAATTCCAAAAAAGTCGCAAGTCCCGATCACCATTTTACTTACTCGGTATATCAAATTAATTAATTGTTATTGAAACAAAAATTACACCTCACCCGCTTTTCGAAAAAGTTTACCCTTCCTCTTTATATTATTTATAGAAAAGTGTAAAAAAAAAATTGTTTAAGATTTATTTAAAAGAGACAAAAATGTTCTAATAAAATCTAACAAGGAATCTCACAACTCTAAAGTCTAAACACAATAACTAACGGCTATAAAAGTCCTTTGTGGCATCATTCCTCGCACCAATAACCTTGCATTAACCCAAATGGCTTTTCTCCTTCATCATCTATCCATCTTCTTCTTCAACTTATCTTTCTTCTACCTCTCAATCTCCCTCTTAACAAACGTAAACTCCGATTTAGTCGACGACGTTTGCGCGAAGACGCAACATCCCTCGATATGCCTACAGGCTTTGCGATCCGATCCTCGTACCACGGGAGCGGATCTTGAAACCCTGGGACTCATCTCCATAGACATTTCCACAAACGAAACGAAAACCGCGAAAGCAATCGTCAACGCGCTTCTCGCAGGTGCCAGAGACGACCCGAGACTCGAAAACCGGTACGAGTCGTGCTTGGAGAACTACCAAGACTCCATTGAGAGCTTGGAGATCTGCCCAGATATGTTGAGGATGAGAGACTATGCAAGCTTGAATATTAGAGCTTCCGCGGCCATGGACGGGCCCGATACTTGCGACGACAATTTCGAAGACCCGCCGGCGGAACCGGCGGAGCTCAGAGATGAGAGTGTGAAGGTGCAAACACTTTGTAGCATTGTTTGTGTTATCAGCAATGTATTGTTGAAAGAGAGCCATAATAATAACATGACTCTCATGGAGACTCATAGTGCTATATAATAAGATTAATAACTTTCTTTTATTTCCCAATGTAGGACCATTGGTCATTATCTATTAGTCATTATTCAATTAAATGTCCAGCATTGTTTGGACATTATTCTTCTCACTAGACATTATTAAGTCTTATTTAGAAAATAAAAAAGCTTAAGTCCTACATTAAAAAATGACTTATGTTTTAGTCCTATTCAGTTCAAATTTCAGATATTTGTAAGAGTATGAAAGAAATATATTGTTTCTTACTTTCACTCATCATCATCAATCTCCAGTCACACAAATATGGATTGTTTGGGCCTAAATCCGACTAGGAGCACGTTTTGGGCTTTGGGCTAGTCCGAACAGCATTAACCAGTTGAGCCCAACCCAGATGGACATGATCTAACTTCTAACAACCTTCCATATTAACGGAATTTTTAAGATTGGTAAGAAAAGATGGCTATCCCTATGTTAACGGAGAAATACTTGTTTCAAAGACGTTACCAAATCTTATAATGTTTTTGTTACTCTCTATACTTAATTACATTAAGTTTTTTTCTAAATAATCACCGCACATTATTAACCTTAAATTGGTAAATTTTCATTTTTATGAATTTACTTTTTAAATATTTTCATTATTTAAGATTATTTTATTCTTTTAATGAGTTTATAAATCGGAAATTTGTGCATTTTGTGACTTTTTTTGTTTATGGCTTTGACATTTCTCAAACTATATATATATATATATATATATATATGTATGTATGTATGTATATATATATATATATATAAGCATTTCTCAAATTGTATATTTTTTTAATTTTTGATTTAAAAATTCAAATTTTTTAGATATCTCAAAATATCTAATTATTCAAACAATACCCAAGATGGTAAGAGTTTATTTGGCGAGTGCCAAAGATATATATATATATATATATATATATATATATATATATATATATATATATATATATATATATATATATATATATATATATATATATATATATATATATATATATATATTTCACGATATCAGAGTGTTTATTGAAGTCTAAGTAGAACTAAGATTTAATATCTCCGGTATGAGAATCCTCTAAAATTGTGGGTCATGAGATATCAATATGAAGTTTTAATATCTTCACAATCGTCTGCCACCACCACTCCTCACTGGTTACTCATTTGAGATCTTTTCAAATATTTTTATTTCATATTTCAAAATTCATATCATTGTTTTCACATTTTAGAACTCATAATATATCTCACCATAAATATAGGCTCTAGACCCAAACTCCAGATCTCAAATCTATATATATTATTTATACTCACACACACATTCAAATCTATAAAAGCTGGCTATATAGTAATCCAACCCTAGTGACAAATCATATATGCATTCAAGATCCTCTCAAATGGCTTGTGCACAAAACCTTTCATCCTTTCTAATTGCATTATCATTACTCCTAACCATCTCCTTATCAACCACCAATGCAGATTTAGTTGATGATGTCTGCTCAAAGACTTCACGCCCCATCACATGCACGCAAGTTTTACGATCCGATCCCCGATCCAAAACCCCCGACCTTCTCGCGCTCGGATTCGTCGCGGTTGACATCGCGACGAACCAGGCCCGATCGGGTAAAACCCTTCTTGAGTCTCTTCTCAAGAGGCCCACTACCGGCCCGAAACTCAAAACGATATATTCGTCGTGTTTGGAAAACTACGGAGATTCTCTTGACGATATAGGGAATCTCTCGGGCTTCTTGAGGTCCAAAGACTATGGGAGTGTCGGAGCTTACGCGTCTGCCGCTCTAAGTGGGCCCGACACTTGTGACGGGAGCTTTTCGACCCCTTCCGATGAGCCATTGCCACTGAAAGCTGCTAGTGACAAGCTGCAAGCTATTTGCGCGGCTGTCTTGTCTATTAACAATAAATTGCAGGGGCAATAAATTGTTAGAGGATGTTTTTTTCACTTGGGAGTAACATTATACTCCCTTTTGTTCCAAAATAAGCTTTTAGTTTGAGTTTTATGCACAAAGTACCCAAATTTGGATCATAATATGAAAACAAATTGAGTTATAATGTAAAATTATTGTCACTCCATGTTAGATTATTTTCTAAATGCAATTTTATAATATGATTTTTTTAATATATATTTGTGTAAAACGTAGAAATTGATGGTCAGAACCGGAAATGTTATCGTCACTCTCTTTTAATTGCATGTTGTTGTAAAAATATTAATAGATGTAGAACTTGCAAAAGGATATTACAGACAACATGCAACAAATGATAAGTGACAATTACCAAAAAAATATGCATTTTTCATATTTCACCTTCCAAAAAAATAGCCTCATTAGAGGAGCAAAATGAAAGTAGTTATGAGAAGAATGTCTTTCATTAGTATTTTTTGTTGAAAAATTGGGTAAATTAGTATAATAAGGGCCATAAAGTTGTCATTTGTTAACTTCTCCCATCCATCCAATTCTCCCAACAATTTGTGCTCTCACATCTTAACTATATATATGTTTTTCCTCTCTCACATAAAATCCAATCCATATCAACAATTATCCACAAACACTTCAATATAAAAATACATTCATTCAACACTAATATATTCCATTTCATCCCCAACCCTTAGGCCACACTTATAAATGTGAAGGTTGCTTTGAATTGAAAGAAATGGCTCTTGTTCACAAGCATTCATATATAATGGCTTCATCATTATTATTCGTAGCCACTCTCGTCGTCGCATTTTCACGTACAAATGCGACGACAGATTTGATTGGTAGCATTTGCCGAAAAGCACAAAGGCCTGCGACATGCACACGCGCACTGAGGTCGGACCCGCGCACCAAATCCGCCGATCTGAATACCCTCGCCGCCATCGCGATCGACGTGTCGACAAAGCACGCCAAGACCTCGCATGCCCTCGTGCAATCCCTTATTACGGGAGCAAAGAACCCCGAGTCCAAATCGAGGTACTCATCGTGCTTGGATAACTACCAGGATTCTATCGACTCGCTACAGCGTTGCCTCGATTTCTTGAAGAATAAGGACTATGGGAGCCTGGACTCTTACGCTTCCGGTGCTTTGGATTTCCCGGAAACTTGCGACAACGACTTCAAGGAAGCCGCTGCTCGCGAGTCCGGGAAACTCAAAGCCGCGAGTGTGAAGCTGCAAGATCTTTGTGACGTTATATTGATTATTAGCAGCAAATTAAGCGGACGAGTGGTGGAGTAATCATATATAGGCGTGTATATACATGTATACTTCAATTTTTGTGCTTTTGCTCTTGAGTAACAATTCAATGTTTAATTTGGAGTAGCTATGCAGGAAATGGGGATTTCAAATAACTAACATGTTTGGGAACTCGAATTTGGATTTCGAATCCGGATTGGGCTCAAATTCCATGCTTGGGAAATCTTAGAAATTTGAATTTGAGGCAAGTTCCTCAAATTCATTACAAAGCTCAATTGCAAATCCATATTCCCCCCTAGTCATTTGAAATTCAAGAATTCAAATTTTGAAATTGAAATGCAAGAACTGAAATGAAATGTTAATTCCCAAACACTACCTTGATGATGATGATGATAGTAATAATAATAATAACTAACTAACTACAACAAAACACTTCAAGAAATAAATATCAACATACATTAAAAATTAATATTATCAAATAGGACATTTTGTAATCTAGATTCACATTACAAAATGTAGTTTTTACGGGGGGGAGGGGGGGAGACATATATAAAACGAAAGCTAGATGTATGTTACTCAAGATGTGTTTATTCATATAGATAAAGATTGTGCACATACAGATCTTGGAATGGTGCAAACATATAGCACAATTGAACCAAAACAAGCGCTTGATGAGTTCATTGCGAGAACAATACAAATTTCAAAGCTGAGAAATGACACAAGCAATCGAACGTTAACACTCACCTTCGAAGAGTGAAGTTAAAGCGCGAGTGTTGCAGCAGCAGGCTTGTAATCAACGACGAGGACTTTCTCGAGTTGAGGGAGGAGTTTGTTTGCAAATTCGACATGAAGTGGATGAGCAATGTACTCTGCAACACCTTGGGTGCTCTCAAATGTTGATTCGAACACGTGGGTGAACCCTTGGTTTAGGTTCTCTATGCTCACATCTTTGCCCCTGCAACAATAAGTGCCCTTGTTACTTTTTTTGAAAGGAAGAAAGGGTTAAGTTTGGAATATAAGAATATGAGTTAGCATTACTCATCCCATTGACAACTTATTTTGGGTTGGAATCTCATAATTCTACAATAAGAACATATTGAACTGAAGAGAATGGGATTGAATTGAACTGAACAGTACTGGAATTAAATCGCCCAATTAGTGGGTGTTTGATTTGGTTTGGTTACTGGTATTAGGATCTCCATGCTTTCATGTCAAGATTCAAATCTGCAATTCTTTCTGATTTTGCAGATGAATTCATCAAACAATAAGATGAATCTTGGGCCGAAATCAAATCGATTAACACCCAAATCTCCCAACTTCATAACATCAAAGTTGGTAGCAGCAAATCTTATACCAAAATGAAGATTGAAGAATATAAACAAATCATTTCTTCACAAACTTGAAGGGAGAAAAAAAAAACTGGATGGGAGGGGGGAGTATGATTATATGAACAAAACATTTCTTCGCCATTCCTTTTTCCAGAGCCTCAAAATTGAATCTTTTTATCAATTAATTGAAATAAAGCAGAAAATAAAGAGATTTGGGAAATATAGAGCTAGAAATACCAGGTGAAAGATTTCATGGGATGGATATGATTGACGAGATTGGCATAGCCTTGGATGAGGTGGTCGATCTCTTCTTGGGAGATCCCGTCTTTGAACTTGGCCAGCAGTATGTGCTTCACTACTCCTCCCGATGATGATGCGGCGGCGCCGCCCTCCTCCGCCATCACACTTCCCTCTATCCTGAAGAAGGGAAGTTATCTATCCGGCCAGTCCGGTCAACCGGCAAAAGCCAGCCAGTAAAATAGTGCTGGACATTTCAGGGTAAGGGCCGGTTCAGGCTGCCCTAATATTTTTTGACCGAGCTCAAATTTTATGTTCAAAGTCCACATACTAACCCGACCCGAATGAATATTAATCTTTATTATCGGTATAATACCATAATTATAATAAAATAATAACAACAACAATCTTAATAATAATAAAATCAACAATACCATTTCAAATTATTATAAACACACACACACACACATATATATACATACATACATACATACATACATACATACATACACACACACACACACACACACATATATATATGGAGAAAAATGGAAATTATAAGTATATTTAATAAAGAGAATAATTTTTTATTTATATTATTTACTCCGTATAACACATTGATAATGTTATTCAAACTTTTTCGCTTTTTTTACAGTTTTGAATACACGTTTGTAACTTTGTCTACATGTTTTCTTTCTACTGTTCGTTTTGCTTGTTTTACTGCTAGACTCTTTTTTGTTTTGAGTTTTGAATGTGTTTGTTTTTATCGGTCTTTTAGCTTTTATTCTTTTTTTATTGTAACTTCTGATACTTTTGAATTGTTTTTTAGGAGCTCTTAAATTGTTTTGAAGTGTTTAAAATCAACAAGGATTTGGTTGAAGAAGATGAACTTCAGCTCCAAATGTGTTTCATAAAATGCCTAAATGAGTGAACGGTCTATGGACATTTTAAAATCCAGACAAATCTTAGTATAGTAACATGCATTGTGAATTACATTTAGGGTTTGTTCTCTTCACCTGATCTGAATGATTTTGATCTGATTACAATAAGTTATGATCAGAATGTAGGCCAAATAGCTTCCATGCCCCCTGTGGTTTGGAAAATTGGCACCAATACCCCATCTGTTTTCAAAACTTATTTCTAAAATCCCCGTGGTTTAAAAACGTTGCACCCACACCCCCTCCGATCATTTTCCGGCCATTTTCCGACGAAGAGGGGGCATTGACGCATAATTTCTAAACCACGGGGGCATTCATGCTCATTTCTTATTTTCGTTTATTATTCTTCCCTTTTTAAAAATATCTTCTATCTCTTTTTCCTTTTCCTAGTTTTTTTTAAAAATATATTTTCAATTTTTTATAATGTTTCAAAAATTTTAAAATTTGTGTTTGAAATAAAAATAAAAATAAAAAAATTAACATACATTAAATCTATATCAAATTAAACATTTTCACCTTCTGTTACTTAGAATAATTTTTTGAAAAGTTCAAAAAATACCCAGAATAAAAAATAAAAATATGGAAAAACGAAATGAAAAAAATTAAAATATGCAAAAGAGGTCTTATACAAAAAAAATTAGACACGCCTAAAAAAGTCCTTAGAATTAAAATGTCCAAAAAGGATTTTCGTTTTTATTTTTGTATTATTTTGTTTCTTATTTTATTCCTCATTTCTTGAAGTTTCAAAAAAATTTACTTTTTTTCAGAAAAACAAAAATTGTTAATTTGAGACGTACATATGCATTATATCTTAATTTTTCTAACAAAAGTATTTTTAAATTTTAAGAAATATTATAAAAAAATCTTTATTAATAAATGAAATAAAACAAGGAAAAAATGGAAAAAATGGAAAAAACAAAAAATATGCAAGAAATAAAAATCAGCACTGATACCCCTATGGTTTAAAAAACATGCACCATCCCTCCTTGCCGGAAAAATGGCCGGAAAATGATCAGAGGAGGCACGGATGCAGCATTTTGAAACCACAGGGACTTTAAAAATGAGTTTTGAAAATAGAAGGGGTATTGGTGCTTGTTTTGCAAACCACGAGGGGTACCGGTGCTATTTGGCCTCTGAATGTAGTTATATTTAAAATTGTTTCTGATCTAATCTGATCTTTTGGTCTGCAATGAACTGATTCTAATAAAAACTACTCTGTCCATTAATAAAAGAGTATAGACTCTTAATTTCAGTCAAATTTAACCTAATTATGTTCAATTTCTTCGAACTTCAACACAATTTGACCAAATTATATGCAATTTGTAACATTTCACTCAATTTTTGCTTAATTGCATTTAATCTAAACAACTTAAACAATCTTTGGACATAAAATTGAATGAAATTTACTAATTAATTTTAATCTCATTAGACGCAATTATATTTAAATGGAAAAGAACATTATTCCATTTTATTTTTTATCTATGTATATACTTTATTTGAACTCATATTTATTGTATTGCATCTAATTGAATTTAATTTTAGGGTTAAATATGTTTTTAGTCCCAGTTAAATTTTTTTTTTGCTTTTGGTCATTGTAAAATATTTTTTGTTTAAATAATCATCCTTACAAAAAAATTATTTTGAAAATGACCTTTATAAGTTACTAAGACTTTTAATTTGGTGACATATCACATTTATTTCGTAATCAATAACTTAATTTTACATTTTAAGTTATATTTATCTAATTACATCTTCAATTCCCAAAATTTTATTATATAAAATTCCTAAAAAATTTGAGAATTAGAAATGTACTCCGTAATATAAATAAGTACACAATTTAGGGCTTGAAATTTGTATTGGACATAATTAGAAATGAAAGACTAAGAGTATGAAATAAATGTGTCATTTCATTTAATTAGAATGGCTAATTTTGTTTAAAGATTAATTTCATAACAAAAAAATTTACATGTACTAAAAATATATTTAACCATAACTTCTATTTATTTATGCATTTTTATTAATTATTTTATAAAATAACATTTTTATCACCTCTTATTTTATAAAAGTTTTGGTATATTTTTAAAATATGCAAATCTTTAAATAAAATGAATTAAGAACTTTACATTTTTTTAGTATTGCACAAAGCCCAATTCTTTTTAAAAGGGATGGAGTAAGATAGTGAGCTCATTAGACGTGATGACAATTGACATGCAATTTGACTTGGTGTTTCCTTTTGCCGGAGTAGATATTTAGGGGTGTTTGTTTTTTCTGCAGGAAAAGGTCTGCGGTCTGCGGACCACTACTGTAAACATCTGCAGAAGAAGTGGTGGACCGAAGGTCTGCGCTCTGCAAGAAGAAGACTGTTTGTTTTTTTAATATCTGTAGACTGCTATATAAATTAATGGTGGTAGTGTACGGTGGTGGTGTATGGACGATTGTGGTGGTGGTGGAGGGTGGTGGTGGACGTTGACGGCGGTGGTGGTGGACGGTGGTGGTGGTGGCGGTGGATGGTGGCGGTGGTGGTGGACGACGATGGTGATGGACGGTGACAGTGATGGTGGACGGTGGCGGTGGACGATTGTGGTGGTGAAGAAGAGTAGAAAAAAAGGAGAAGATGTTAGAAGACATTGATTAATGTCTTCTCCAAGAAGATGCCAAGAAGACCTTTTCGAGTGAAATGTCTTCCAAAAAACAAACAATCTGCAGAGCCCATCATCTGCGCGCGTCTGCGCGGCGCAGACAAAAGACGCCAGAAGGTCTTCTGGCAGAAAAACAAACACCCCCTTAGGCATTTAGCAGATGTTCATGTAACGAATATAACATTTTGAGGAGAAATTCGTTTGGCACATCAAACGTTGTACACTAAGGTTGTATTCTGTTTGCCTGATCTGATCTGATTTTTTGAAGATCTGACCTGATTTGGACTGGTCTGATTTCAATTATAACTAAAGATGTTTTTGATCTGATATAGTCTGATTTGATCTGATCTAACCTGATTATAATAAGAATAAGTCATAAGCAAAAAAATAAGTTGACCTGAATGCTACCTAACACGCAACAAGATTCTCGTTATCACAAAATGTACTACTACGTGTATTTTACTCAAAATATAAGTTGGTGTTTGGAAACAAAACAAAGCCCATTTGGAAGCGCGATAGTCTTAATTCACAAGTGTTGATCTTAAACGGAGAAGGAAAAGTCTCACAAAAATGTGATAGGCTCACCCAACACCCACTCATGTAGTCATGTTGCATTCCGTTCAACTTATTTGTTCTATTTATTACTTTTTCTTATTATAATCAAATCAAACTAGATCAGATCAGATTAAAAACAATTTTAATTATAACTTGAATCAGATCAAATAGGATCAAATATTCAAAAAATCTAATCAGATCAGGCTAATAGAATGCCACCTAACATCTGTATGTAAATGAGATCAAATTGACAAATTCTATATATAAAAATGTATTACCATCCTACATTCTCATTGTTGAGTTGCCACCATTTGTCCTTAGGTAGGCTGCATTTTTTACAACTTATTACTCCCTCCGTCCTAAAACTTTCTTTCCGTTGCGCAAAACGAAAAAAAATCTCAAGTTTTTTCAATCTATTTTATTTAAATATTGGTATAGAAATAAAAAATAAAACATACATATTTAAAAACTACATCAAAAATTCAACAAAACAAGTGGTGACAAGAATATTTTATTTTATCATATAGGCCATGAAAAAACACAAATAAATATAAATTCCCGTGAAGTTGGAATAGTGTTCTGGGAAGAAAGTTTTAGGATGGAGGGAGTATTACTTATTGAAATGAGATCAAACAAGACAAGGCGGGACCAATCCAAAATTAGAAACAGTTTTAATTTCAAGTAGAATCAAATCAGACCAGATTAGACTTTAATAAAATTAGATTAGAAAAAAAGCATATCAGACGAAGGGAACACAATCACCATTGTAGCATACTAGCATCTACTTGACAATAAGAACAAAACCCAATATAATCACTGACTCAATTGGAGACTATTTCTGTATACCATTGAAGCATTGACTCATTTTACTATCCACAACTCCATGCACTACCTACTCATAGGCTATTTCCCAACAAAATGCTTTTCTTTACTTTTAGAAAGGGAGAACATGATTTCTGAAGAATAAGTTAATTTCGCTTAAATTATATTCCCCAAAGTTTTCTTTTTCTGATGTTTGGGGGGAAATGGAAAAGGATGGCGAAGTCATCGAGGATACCGAGTAGACCCAGCAAATGTGCCTCGGCATTCTGGAAGTGGCAGGGCCGACGATGAAGTTGAAGGCGCGGTCCAAAAAAGTGGAGGAC